GGAGCTCTTGGTGTGTCTTATAGTATTAACTGTCATCTGGTTAAATTTCCCCCGAGTACAGCCCTGGACCTAATTGAAACAATTACAAATGAGGCTAAATGAGAATGTGAACTGATGATTTTTTTAGAGGCAACCAAATACTTTTGCCCAGGCAGAAGAAAGGACAAGCAAATATTGATACGGTAAAGAAGGAAGACTTTCTCCATTAAAAACAAGAAGGAGCCAGGAAATTTTACCTCCGTCGCCCTTTTCGTTAATATCCTCTTCTACTCACTCATGTTTTACATGTCTGTCACACACACCTTTTTCTGTCACAGCCACACAAGTAATATTCCACAGACGAGCAGAAATACTGGAAACTGTGTCAAAAAAGAAGAAATAATAACCTTGAAATGCTCTAAAACAAAGATTCCATCATGTTGATGGAATGCTGTGGTTAGCAATATGGAAACAGACCGACTCCAGAATTCAGTGGTTAGCAAAAAAATAAATAAAAGAAAAAACTCGTCTGTGAAAGAGGAAAAACTTGGGAGGGGGTAAGGACAGCCTCTGGAATTACACACCAAAACCTCTGAGACGCGCACACTCATGCACACTGACAGATTCACATACACATACGCACCTTCTATCTTACCCACTGAGCAGTTAACCACAGTGGGTGAAGGGTGGGGTTAGGGTGGTGGCGAGCAGGGAGGCACAAATTTAACAAACCTCCTTTAGTGCTTTGCTCGCTGCTTCGTTTGAAGTGCTCAGATGTGCTCCTCTTTCAGACACCCTGAAGACTTCTCGCAAAATGTCACCAGTATGGCAGAAGACAGATGACTCATTAATTATCCTCTGTAAATCGTACACTGAGAAACTAAGGTTATGAACTACTGACAGGCCACTGCTGTTCGCACACCCGCATCCATTGCTTCTGTTTTAATAACTGCGGTGGCAGAATTGAGAAAGCGCATCACTGTCATATCTCTCCTCCTAGCCTGCCGTTAAATAGACATAAGTGCGGAGATCTTAAAGGCAAATTGCTTGCGTAATGGATGTCTCCAGAATTACAGGGGAGGAGGCAGGCATGCTGACAGAGGTTTTGGCGGAGAGCCCCAACAAGGGCCTGGGGCCAGCCGCTCTCACCATGCATTCTCTTCACTGGACCGGTCATGCTGGGAAAGGTGTGAGGAGAGCAGTCAGACACCCCCCCAGCATCCCTCTCATTACACAGCCTACTGGGCTACGCAACGCACTGAACAACCCATCCCTTTTGCACACTTTTCCTTCTACTTAATGGAATTCCCCGTTACCCCATAAATGCCTCCCCATTCCATCACCTCTTACCTCTCATCATCTCTCGTCTTCATCTGTCTTCTCTCCCTCAGTGATCTTCTAGACCACTGCATGTCGATGTTTCAGTGCACAAGCATCTGGAAAAGACGAACAAGCAGCCGATGGCAGTTATTGATTTCCATTATTATAAAGGAAGCCATTCTTTGTAGGAGTGGATTACTCGCCCTGCTGTTGCTTTTCTCTTGGCATTAAGGATTTTTTGTTTCTCTGGAGAGTCATTGTCTTCCCGAGCCACCTTTTTTTTTTTTTGTGGTGTCTTAAGCAAATGTTGAATTGCTGCATTGTTAAGATCACCCATTTTAGTAGCTCTGGTCTGCTTTTACCATTTCTGCGAGCCACCTTTGGGTACTCTCCTATTACAGAACGCACATCAACAGAGGTGTCGAGTGGCTCATAAAAAAAAAGAGATGCTGAGCCTGTAGTTTTTTATGTTAACTGATTTTGAGAGATACGGCGCTTAGAGGTTTTGGCCTCTAAATGGCAAAAGCAGCTATGTGAGACTGATGTGATGAGTCGACAAAGATTTTGACAGCGCTACTAGCAAATATTCACTTAAACCAACACCACATACATCCTGTTCTAAAATGACAGGAAAGGGGCTTCCAGGAAATTGAGCTTTCATTCAAGCACCTTTTAACCATCCCTTCCTTCATTCCTGTGAGGAACCAGTACAGACCCTTGTGAAAGTAATGGGGGAAAACAGTGTAGCCACTTTTGTTACAGTTATGTGCACGCACACACACACAAACACGCATGGACTTATACCACAAGCACACCAGTTCTTAGGCACTCAGCAGTCTCAAGCTGAGAGTCAGGGTGGTGTTGTGGTGAAGCCATATGGGGCGCCACTGCCTGAAAGACTTGGTGATTTGACAGGAGGCCTGAAGAACACACACTCACATGGACACATACACACACAGCCTTAATTGACTTATAAAACTGCACTCAAATGCACTTTTATGGAATAAATTTTAGACCAGTCACACAGGATTTGATATGAACTTGTGCCCAGCTTGCAATTCTGTCACCACCACATTGTCTTTATACACAGTCCAACTGCAATTCATGCTATTTCATGAAAAAACTGAGTAAGCAGTGCAAAAACACCACCAATTTGCCAGATTAATATGCAAGCAGTCTCTGTATGAAATAATTCTTGTTTATGAGAAGGGAAAGAAATACTGTGCAGCCCAGGGCTGTAGGGGAAGTGTCCGAGGCATTTTTAGACTGTAATTGACCCTTTACTCTTTGTAAACTGACAGCTCAGGCTTTGGTGCTACTTCTGTAAGGTTCCTGTGATCCTCATACTGCTCTTTTTGTTGTTGGAGGCGTTCATTCACAGCCACAAACCGCAACAGCCAGTCTAGGCAAATACAATTGGGGCTATGATGTATGATCGTGACTGCTGACTCAGCAGTGCTGGATCAAGCGCTGCCTGATGGAGACGCGGGCAAGGCCGTTCACCCCAGTTTCCCCAACCGGTGGCAGAGATACCTGCAGACACTTTGGCTTTCAGATTCTGTGGAGCTGTAAAGGGGATGCGATTTTTCACAACCAGGTCAAAACCTAGCCAGGTCTCAGCTTCAGGTCTCCCTTCCAACCTGTTAAATACCTCTGGGAGGTTTACCACAGGATGAGACAAGGAAACGAGCAGCACAGGGAGATCATGTCAGAAAAAATTGAGGGTCATATCTCACTGTGTGTCATGCGGTATCTGAAAGTATTGACTGCTGCTTTGTGGATGGAAACATAATGGCCTTCGAGGCTCAAAGCTGTAGGCCAACACATCTTATCTCATATCAGCTCATCTCCTCGTCTCTGTGGCTTTGAGAGGGCTTGAATTTATACAGTGAAAAAAAAATTGTCCACTTTTAGGAACCTATCTGGCCGTGACCTCACTTACACTACAATACAGTCAGCATACCATGCACTTGCTAACTTATTACTATTAATAAGGCCACAAGACATACTCCTACAGAAACAGGATTGTATTTATGTTTCATCGTGATTAGATGTGGTTTGGTTCTTTGGCCAGGGTGCACAAAGAATTCATTTGTGAGCCGTCTGTCATCGTCTTCCAGATAGTCAGCACTAATGTTGTGCTGTCAAACAGTCTTATCTTAGGCTCGGTGCTCAGGTGATCAGATACGATCTCTACGAAAGGAATTTGGACGTTTTGCAAAAAAAAAAAAACTAAAGTAGGGTTTGTTTCTTTTAAATCTGCCTGAATTATACCTCTAACTGAATATGGCTATAAATAAAAGAGTACATAAATCATAATTACCATACCAACCTGCTAAAGGATGTTTTAGTAAAAATATTGATTCCACAGGATGGATTCAAGATGGAAACAAAATCAGGTGCTGATGACAAAATGACCCAGAGAGTTCCAAAAAAAGAATCTCCTGAGAGACTGATGAGGGTGCACATACTTACTGTCTGTTTGTCTTTCACATCTGACAGTGTTATATGCAGTTTTCTGGCTCCATTATAGTGACTGCCTAAAAAAGAGGCTCGATTCAGTGGTACTTAGTTTTTCTTTTTAGTATGCAGTTTTCACTCATTCCTCACAGGCTAAAACTTTCCTCAGTAAACCACAAGTGCTTTGCTCAAGGACACTTCAGCACAGTGGATGGTAGCCAAAACAGATGCTTTGACCAGGATGGTAGTCTCGGCAAACACAGGCTACCTCCAGCACCGGTATAGTCAGTGGAGGCAGACAGAAGGTGTGTTGGAAGTTTGGTTACCGGGCCTAGAAATTACATTTTGGTGCTAACTGCAAGTTTCATTTGGTCTGACCTCAATCAGCCAGGAGCATTGCCGGGCCAAAGTAAACCAGGACCCGAGAGCACTGTCTGGGATGCCTGAGGAAAGGCAACAAACGTCAGTGTGGCCTCACTTCTCACTGTCTAAGGGCTGGCTGACTAATCCTCGATATTCCTCCATGATCTAAACCTGAAGCCCTCTGTAGCAAAAGAACACTGTGGCATTGTGTCCCTTCTCTTAAGGAGTCTGTGATTCATTTACTGGCAATGCACTTTGGATACATGTACTGAATTTTTCTCATCCTCAGAACTACGTTCAACTTCATCATTCCAAGACGAAACTGCTTTCTTTGTACGACTGTTGAATATGACACAACAACTATTTACTGCTGTCAAGCAGGAATCAAGCAAAAACTCTGTGGGGTTGTTTGAAATGTGTCTGTTGTTGAAAAAAAGGAACTTAGACTAAGTAATACCTCACGGACTAGTATGAAAAGGCAGAATTTTGGAATTCCCTATTGATCTCACAGTGTATATTGACAGTACTGCTGTTTGATGCTGCAATACTGCTCTCTGCTGGCAGAAACAGGGAACAAGTATATGATATGAAGTAGCTTTGTGTGAAACTGTACGGTTTTGTTTTGTTTGTTTTTTTACTTTATTTGTTTCATTTGGAAGTTCCTGACATTTCTATTTTCAATACTAACACCTAGGCCAAAAAGTATTTTTTGGATACACAAGTTTTTTTGAATGCTGTTCAATGTTTCGCTTGCATGTTTAATTAGCATTGTTTGCTTTTATCTTGCAGAAAACATTTAATTTCTAAGAGTTTTTAATTGTTTTTATCAGATAGTTTAAGGTTGCCATCTGATCTTTTTTGCTCTTTATTCCTTCCAGGTCTGATTTGCTTTGGTGCCAGATCTGCAATTGACAATGAGGGTGAAGAGATGAGCTTGCAGCGAGAAGCCCGGTCCCTGCAGTTCCTGCCACTGGACATTTAGTGATTATTACTACACACAAGACGATGTCCCTGTCTCCCAGATAGCACTTCTGAGGACCAGGCCTTCACAGCACACATTGTGCACCATGGCAGGAGAGACTCAGCGAATGCATGCAGTCAAAGAGCTGGACACTGAGTCCAAACTGCAGGATGAGGGCACCACGCTGGAGCAGACGAGTGAAAAAACCTCAAAGGAATCTTCAGAGCACTTTTCAAGCACAGGCACTGAGGCCAGAGCCAGTAGCAGAGGGCCCAAAGCTGAAAAAATAGAGAAGAGAAGGGACTGTCCTCAGCAGCGTGAGGCTGTCATACGACCACAGCAAGCAGGGAAGATTGACTTCAGATCACTGCAGAACAGATCAAAGTTCGCCACTGACAGGACTTGGTCGAGTGGCAAAGGCAGTCCCCAGTCTCCAAGTGGAAAGAGCCGCAGCCGAGAGAAAGGGAAGCGGTCAGTAAAGACAGAGCGAGGCAACCCACAGCAGCTGTACAGACCAGGCATTACAAATCCACGCACTGTTGGTATTGCATATCCACAGCAGAAGGTTTTGCCACCCAAGAAGTTGGAAACCAGTCGTGGCCCAGTTTCGGGCAGCTACAGATTCCACGTTCCCAGTATACCAGAGAGAGAGGCCGAACTACAACAAGAAGAGCTTAGCTACAGCCGCTGTTTCCAAGAGGCTTCCTCTAACCTCACCTCCCAAAGCTTTACCTCACAGACACTGGGCTCCTCAAGTGGAACATCATCTCACCTGCACCCACCCCTGTCACAACAGCAGCAGCCAGCATCCATGGAGAGCAACGGTGCACAGCCTGGCGGCCAACTGATTCTGACTGACTTTCATCTGAGTGGCTCTAATGCATGGGCATCTCCTGAAAGGACTTTCAATGGTGCTAACTTTGGGGTTTCATCGCAGAAATCCACTGCCCTATCAGAAGCAAATAAGGCAAACACATTTGTGCCTGGCCCATTTCAGTATGGATATAATTTAATGGAAGAATCAACCTCTGACTCTTTTCCCTGTGAACAGGACCCACAATCCCAAGACTTCACGAACGCCTCTTTGGGTTCTGTTCATGTGACCCATAACTCGTTTTCTTTCGCACCTGCAGAAGGGCAAAATATTGCTCAGAACAACACTCAGTTCAGTAATGAACAGCAACCAGAGGATCGAAGCACTTATCCTCACACTCCGCAGTCACAGTTTATGCAAGGGGTGGTATCATCCATCCAGTGTCCAAGGAACCTGAGTGAGGACTCAGCCAGCAGCGACAGCTCTGGCTCCAGCTCACAGCAGTCGGAGCAAGGAAAGACTGGGCTGGCCGAGAGCACAGATGCAATTGGACAGGCAGACAGTAGGGATGCAGCCATCACCTCGGGGAATAAGAGAAACTGTCACCCCAAAGACACAGCTGCCAACCAAAGAACACTCATTCAAGGAAGTATGCATGCAAGAAATATTTCACAAGTCCCAGGCTCACCAATGCACTTTCCCACCAAAACATACAACAGCATTCCAGTCAATAACATTCGCTCGAGCACAATGGTTTTTGATAAAAACATCAACAGTAATGTTCTAAGTAGGATATCACACTCATGGGAGGGGCCTAATAAGGCATATTCACAAGAAGATCCAAACACGATTCAGTACACTGATATAAATGACAAGTTTCAGTTTCAGAACCAGCCAGCGATCGACCAAAGGCCAAATTCATCTAAAAATAACAGAATGCCCTGGCAGCAGATACGACCCACCCCTGCCATGCCAAACCAAAGTAGAATTGAGTTATCTAGACAAATAAGCAATCAAAAATTGGCTTACATAGTTTCCCCCTCTGACTGGCAGGATGACATAAAATCACATAAACCCAGCTCGTTGAAAACTCCTGGCTCGTTTCAGAACAGCAGAGCTGGTGATGGCTTTTCAAACCAAAGACAGGAGATTGTTAAAAAAAACAGTAACACAGTCTCAACTTTTAAAGTAGAAACAAGCCACTCGCAAGTATGTGAGTCGAAAAATAAGGTAGTATTCTTTGGACTCAATCATTCTCTTCCAGCAGCACCGTCAAGAAACTACAGCTTTCCACCATTACAGGTGCCGCCTATGGGACTGATGATGGTGTCGCCTTATGAATCCCCTTTGCCATCCCCAGTTCATAATCCTGCATCTAGCAGTACCTGCTCCTCCCACTCCCCGGCATCCACGAGCCCTGTTAACATCAGCTCCGAGGACACGCAGATATCTAAGCCAGCACCCTCTCACCCATTCTATCACCAACCACAAGGCAAAACCCAGTTACCCTCAGATCACCTGAGCACTCACTCCCACCAGTTTCATTCCGACGCTCCGCGGAACCTTCCTTTTGTACCCGACAGACCCAAAGACGACATGATGAGCTACCTGCAAAGCAGTAGTCACGTAAAGACAACTATGGATGGAAGCAAAGCTTATGTGGATAGTTTTGGCGTGGAGCACCAGCAGCCTCCCCCGCCATACTCTGCACATCAGCTGTTAGCCAGCTCATTAGCCACAGCAAATCTTGACCAGTTGGATGTGCTCCTGACGTGCAAACAGTGTGATCAAAATTTCAACAACCTGGCCTCGTTTTTAGGCCATAAGCAATACTGTGCTCATCACACGTTTGCACAAAATGACCTCAAAGAAACGGCAAAGATTGAGGACAGTCGAAAATACCATTCAGATCCAGCAAAAGCAGTGTCGTCCGTGTCGAACGTTTCACTCTCAAGGTGTCCGTCTGATCTTCACTTGTCTTTGTTGGGCCTCAATAAAAATGGCGACCTGATATGTGACAGTGAAATGAAAGGAGACAATAAAGACGATTCAATGAAGCTGTTCTCCAGTTCAGTCAACCTCCCCGAGCTGGAAATGGACGCCAAGTTGGACAGTCTAATCACAGAAGCTTTGAACGGACTGGGATATCAGTCAGACAATGCTGAAATAGACAGCAGCTTTATTGATGCATTTGCTGATGATGACCTCACCACTGTCAAAACATCGTCAAACAAACAATCTCTGAAAATGAAAGAATCCCTGGTCTTTGAGAGCAAAAATAAACAAGCAGTCGATGATGTGTCTTTCACACAGGAAAAGTATTTTTATGACTCTGATGTAGAGAGCCCTGAGAAAATCTCTCTGAATCTGGAACAAGATGAGAAAATTAACATAAAAAAAGAAGTCTCTCATAAAAATTCAAGAATTGCCTCCAGGGAGAAGACGTGGGAACAAGGCAGCAAAGTGAAAGAGGCGAAAACTCTGTGCAAGAGCGGGGACGAAAACACGGGGACACAGAGGTTACTCTTGTCCAGCAAGTTTTCGGAACGCTGCGGCGTTAAGAGCTTTCAGGACAACGCCGCACTTCGAGGGTCGGCACCCTCACAGGCCTCCACCTCCCCGACATCAAGAACTGCAGTGAAAGAGAGCAAGAGGAAAAACACTGGAGGGGGCACCTGGAGCAAAGAACTTATTCACAAAATAGTTCAACAGAAAAACAAGCTCCATAAACTCCACGTCAAAGGTACTAAAAACCTTCAGTTTTCCTTGGTGATGGAGAGACTAACTCCTACGGTGCAGAACACCGCCTTTGGAGAATACGACTATGTCTCAGACTCAGATGATGAATGTGAGCCCGTAAAGATAGCGAGCCAAGGCCGACTGAATCAGAGTAGTCGCTGTAAATATACATACACTAAAGAGTGCAAGTGGCGAGCGAAGAGCGAGAGGGACCAGGCAGCATGGAGGCATGAGTCGAAGGAGTGTTTTGAGATGAAAAAAAGCGAAGAGGTTTCTCCCGACAAGCACGGCTCTCACCAGAGGCTCAGGAGGCGGGGTAGCAGATCGTCCACAAGCAGTGAACTCAGCACATCGGTGAGTGTTTCAAGTGATAGTATCAACAGCCCCAAAAGCACTGATCGCACTGACTCAGACTGTGAGAAGAAGACAGACAAAAACAAAGAGTCTCCAGAGCAGAAAACCCATGAAAGGTCTTCCCCTCAGAAGTTATTTAAAGAGTCCAGCACACTTGCACTGACTTTCACGAAATCTGTCAAGAAGTATAACAACAACAAAGCCATTCATTCTGATATCAAAGACAATACAGAGGATCCAAAGAAATGTCACTCAAATCCTGAAGCTGCTGATCTAGCGGCATCCTCGCAAAAAGCAAAAGACACAGTAAAGCACTTGGAAAAAAGCAAAACGTCTCATGCAAAATCAAGAGAGAAACCCGTGTCTCACAAAAAAGAAGCCAGTACAACGGTTACTTCAGACAGAAATTCCCTACAGAGGGCAGACAATCTTTGCCCTAAAGACGAACCAACACAATGTGGCGGCACAGATAACAAGACGCTACCATTTAATTCACAGTCCCCCGCTACCAAAGAAACTGATTTCAATATTGACAGAAAAACAAAGGGCAAAAGAAGAGAGGGCTCCCTGGCTGCACAGCCAGAGTTATCAGACACTCCCACGTTTGAAAAACAGAGCGACAGTGTCTGTGCGGTGAAAGAGGCTATCACTTTAGCCAATGACCTAGTCACGCACAAACCTGGGTCTCTTTGCAGCTCTTTGATGGATGAAGTGTGCCTGTCTCCAACCGAAAGCCAAAGCCCGCTGATACAAAAAGACACACTCCACCTCATGCCTTACCCCCTGGACCAGGAGCAAGGACTCATTAAATCTCCGCTTTCATTTGACACCTCATCAATGTTTGGGGACCTCACAGGCTTTGACGGTGGCCTTTACTCGGAGATGCCGATACAAAAAGAGGGTTTCCATTCAATAGAAAACGCATCGGAGAAAAAGGACGAGTTTGTGTCATCTTTCTCTCCTTTTCTGGAGCAAAGAGACTGGAGTCTCATTGTTAGCCCCGTGCTACCAGATGAGATATCCCAGTACAAAAGCAACTCGGAGAAATCAAATGAAAAGAAGCCAGATTATAATCACGTTCCTTTGTCTCTGCCGGAAAAAATAACTGACTACAGTGCAAATCTTAACAGCTGTGCATCAGAGGATGAGCTGGAGATAAAGAGAATAGTGAACGAGCTCGAGAACCAGCTGCAGACAACAAAGTTGGAAAGGCCACCGATACTAGATCAGCACGTCCCCAAACAGCTGCAAATGAGCAAATTTTCACCTTTACGTCTGGGCGATGAGTCAGAGAGTGAGTGCCCCACTTTGGATGCTAAATGCTCTGTGCCGACGATAGATGTACCTGTTTCGATGCCTTCAGAGCCTTTCACTGAACAGGGACTCTCGTGGCACGGCACATTCCAATTCGAGCTAATGGGTGAACATCACAGTCCCCACACTGCAATTCACAATGAATCAGGGGCTCTTGAAATATTTTCAGACAAAGAGGGCCACGCACCAAATTTAATCTCTGCATCCTCACGTATTGAACACCCACAGCTCCACCTTGATCAAAAAACGGAGGAAAGAAGTGCCGAAGAAGACACTCCTGCGGAAACAAAGGAAGAGATTTTGGAGCAGAAGAGATATACAGAAAATCTCATGAAAAGTCTGGAGGTGATTTCACACTCTATATTCAAGAAAGAACCCCTTATATCAGTAGACAAAACGCTAAATGTCAACTCTCCCCAAAGTCAACAACATGTAGAAGCTGAATGTCAGGCAACAGATGCAGTTGAAAGAGAAGATCATGAGGAAACGGAAGCAATTATGAAAAAGGAGAATATATTATCACCTCCAAATATCAGTGAGAGGAAGGATGAAATTGAATTCATTCTGGATGAGTCAGAGTCATCTCTCTCCAGCAAGGCTGACCCCAGAGTCAATGGCAGCCAGCCAAATTCATCGCAGCCAAGTGAGGCCACAGAAAACAAGGATTACAAGGGGCAGAGTAAAGTCGCATCAGAGCAGGATATCTCCGAGAGTAGCACTTTAACCGAGACTGCTCGCTGCTCAAGTGTGGTGACACATGAGCCACGTGTGGATGAGGAATCTTGCGGGAACTGTAATGCAGAGGACAATGTCGATCAGCTGTTTAAAAACAGTAGCGTCAGCCGAGAGTATTCACCCACGGGTGAGGAAGCGGAGGCGGTGAAGGGAATTACGGGTCACTCTGGTGTTCATCTGTTATCACCAGCTCAGGCTGAGCCCAGTCCAGATATTAGTGAGAAAATGGCAGATGTGACAAAGGCAGCAGCGGAGCGACAATCAGCTGGTAGCCATGGTAATCGTGACGACAACAGTTCATCGCACGCTGACGAATTAAAAGTGGAGCGCTCAGAAAGTAAAACTGTTGAAACATCAAGCCGAGATCATTTAATAGGCCTTTCGACACAGACGTACGGTGAAACCGATATGTCCGTAGAGATTGTCACCACAGACAAGCCCTGCAGTCCGTTACTGGTGGAAACCAAAGCAGAAAGCTCTAGATGCTGCTCGCCCTTCCATGACACCCAATCCATAGAGGGACAAAGCAATCTGTTGATCATTTCACAGTCTGATGGCATCATTAACGGTGATTCCTGCAAAATGACTCCATTTAATGACTCATTAAAAACTGAGACAGGTCTCATCTTTGAGTCTGCTCAGAAACGAGAAGAGATTTTAAATGTTCAGGACATCAAAGAGCAGCTTCCCATTGATTTCATGGCAAGTCAGCATAACTCACCGTGCAGAGACGAAGTGGAAGAAAGTCACTGCGTCTTTTTAACGACCGCTCCATCAGTCAGTCCTCTATTATCGAGCTCTAATCAAATGCCTATGCGGAAATGCGACACAGAAGAGGATTCGTGTAAGTCAAACGATACATGCGACAATAAATTTATTGATCAAGACTCCGTTCAAAATACAAAATCCCCAAGAAGCAAAGGCAAAAACAAAAATTCAAACAGTGAGGAGCTAAACACAACGGTGGAGATGGAGTACTCTTTAATAAGTCCGCCTCACCTGCACTTGGGAATGATAGAGTGTAAAATCCCCAGATCTGAAACCACCATCTCCTCTCCACTTCCAGCAACCGCTATGGCAGAACCACCAGTGGTATCAGAGAGCCTTGGAAAAAGAGATTTAATGTACGACTTCAAGCTCAGCCCACTCAACTATAACAGCATCTCAGATGAACCTCCACAACTAAACCAGTACGATTACATACCAGTCTCACCAGCCAGTCAGCCTAAAGAGAATGCAGATACCGCGCTGAGACCCAGTGATGACTCTGAATCATGTGATCTGAGTATAAACCCTGCACTGATTTTTAGCAAAACTGAAGCAGACACGGGAGAATCACTGAATTCCAACCCTGCAGCTAAGCTATATTCATCCGATGAACCACTGGTGCTACAGCAGAGTATGAAATTCACATGTTTTTCACTGGGGCTCCCAGCTCAAAGCAAGAGAACAGACTCTACAGCTGGTAATGTAAAGACAAACCTGGAGGTTTGCCACGAGGTGCTCAAACCTGTTGAGAATTTGCATATGCATGCAGACCTTCTGAGCAAGGCTGAAACGGAGACTTTAGAGTCTCACAAAGCTTCTGTTGAGGACAGTAAACTTCTCAAAAAAACCTTTTCAGATGGTCCGCCCACTCCTAAGCCACTCATCATCTGTGAAAGTGAACAAATGCTCATTCCATCAGACCCTTCAGAGAAGCGACCGACAACAGACACTGGCCAGTGTTCAACAACGCAAATACAAAAAGATGCGACGCAAAAGAAGACACAGAGCAGCGCTCAGCAGGGCAAAGTGCTCTGCGAAATTTGCTTCATGTGTTTCAGGACTGTGCCGGGGTTAAAGAGGCATAAAGCAATGAAGCATTTGGTCAAAGCTGAAAAACACACTGGCCCACAGAGTGCAGCGTCAAGCCATCAGGGGAGTGCGCTTGTTTATGAAGCATCACAAACTACAGAGAAAAAACATAAAGATGATTCACAGACCTGTTACCCAACAAAAATAGAAGGCCTGCCTGAGATAAGTAGTGCTCTCATATCTAAAGCAGCAGAGACCGAATCCATCCTGGAGGAAATGGCAAGTGAGACAAGTGCAGTGGCAGTAGATGAAATAGGCTATCAAAGCCCAATGCTGTCAGTAAAAGCAAAGAAGAACAACAAAGCTAGAAAGAACAAGAACAGTGAGGTAAACAGAAAGCCTAACCATCTCTCTGATGAGCTTCTGAATATATTAAAAACAGATATACTTCAAGCTATAACTCCTGAATTCAAAAGCGGCACAGAGCGCAGCCAATCTTCTGAGGAACAGGAGAAAACCAGTGAAAGAACTGAGGAATTCCCTCACTGTGCTGCTTCAGAGGCTGCTTTTGACAACACAGCCCGATCTCCAACAAAAGAGACAAATGTACTTAATGAAACTGTGGAGATCAATCAAACTGCTGATGCAGAAGAAACAAAATGTACGAGTATCACAGAGATGGCAAATTTGGAAGTGTGTACGGATAATAATGTGGAAAGTACTGTAACTGTAGAAAAGGAGGTTATCAGAGAATGCGATGAAACCAGAAGGACTCTGCTCCCTGTGGAAGACATGTGTGAACTGAAAGGTTCAGAAGATAGCCTTGCCCAGGAGATTCTTGGAAACGTGGCAGGCGAAATAAAATGTGAGAAAAACAGTAGCCCTGCAGACAAAGTACATCCTCTCTCCTGTTTGAACTCCACAGCTCTCAGCCCTCCAAGTATAAGTCCCGATCTGAAGGCCCTGTTTGACGATGACACCACATTCTCCCAGCTCTTCCCCAGAGATGATGAGGCAAAAAGGAAGAAGTGCCCAAGGGTGTACAGCAAAAGAAACAAAAGGCAGAAGCTATCGCCCCGTTCGAATGTGACTGCTGACTTCCTTCCTCCTGAAACATTCATGCAAAGTAAAGATCGATTCGCGGAAAACCAGGCCGAACAGACTTTTAATGACAATCACGCAAAGCACTGTGAATATGAGACAATTTCTCTTGATGATGCCATCATGTTGAATATGTGCCACAACAGCACAATAAAGGCAGATGTCACACCGCTGGCAGATGTTAAACAGAGGGATCAGGGGGATGCTGACAATATTAAAGAGCTCTGCAGCAGCCTCTTGAAACCACTCGAAAGCACAATTGATAAATCTTCAATTGAATGGAGCGGCCCCGCTGCCTTCACCAGCTTTGATACCAGCTCATCTGTGACCTCTGACCCCAAATCTTGTAAACCGGAAGTAGCATCCACCCCGTACACTGTGGAGCCAGAGGGCGTTCAAACCTTCCACAGCATTGACATCCAAAACATGAACACCACGTTTCAGCTTCCAGAAATCCAGTTCTTTGATTCTAATAAAGATATCTCAGTAGCTCCTCCAGCAATCGCAACTGTTGATGTGGAGAATAGAGATGATGAAAAGTCCAACAAAGTGGCGGAGCGGCGAGGCAGGAAACGGCAAGATGGCGGAATGAAAGTCAAAGATAAGCAATACAAGTGCAAAGTGTGTTTCACTTGGTTCCTTACCCTGGGCGAGCTGAACTTTCACAAACTCTCCCACAACCCCTCTCCACCTCCAACCTGCTACATGTGTGTCCAGCGTAAATTCAGCTCCAGGGAACAACTGAGAGACCATCTGAGGGAGAAGCATGCAAAGAACAAGACGGGTATCTGGACCTGTGGGATGTGTTTGAAGGAGATATCAGATGTTTGGATGTACAATGAACACTTGCGGGAGCATGCCACACAGTTCGCCAGGAGGGGTCAGACTCAAGGATCCATGCTAGGCATTTCGGGCAGCTTCATGCAAGAGACAGCAGTGAAGAACTTCATCTCCTCAATAATGCAGCATCGCCCCAGCAAGGTGAGCAGAGAGGCCAGCAAAGTTAATAAAGAACAGGAAAAAGCTGTTTCTGCAGACAGCACAATGGGAGAGGGTGCTGAGGCAAAGCTTCACAAATGTAAAAGCGCCAGCGGAGCTGGTGGGAAGAACGCCTTAACCCCACTTGAAGTCCTCCACAAAACAGAGACACCTAAAAGCGTGGAGATGCATCCCAACTGCAAAGACCCCTCAAGAGACTGCCACCACTGCGGAAAACAATTCCCCAAACCATTCAAACTGCAGAGACATTTAGTGGTTCACAATTTGGAAAGGATTTTCCTGTGCCACAAATGCCCCGTCTCTTATCCGGAGGCCCAGGAGCTTAAAGATCATCTGAAGAGAGCTCACGAGGAGGTGGATGAGCTGGATTCGAAGCACACCACCCTCTACACCTGTGAGCTCTGCGCTGATGTCATGCACGTGATTAAAAAGTCCTTCATCTGCAGCACCTGTAACTACACCTTCTCCAAGAAAGAGCAGTTTGATCGTCACATGGAAAAGCACCTGTCAGGGGGAAACAAAATTTTCAAATTCCGAGGCGTCTTGAGACCCGTCAGAGTGTCTGCATCCAAAGAAGATGAATGTGTTTCGCCTACAAGTAAAAAGAGGAGAATTCTCCCTGACAGTCTGCAAGAAAACAGCTCAGACAGTGGCATTGCTAGTGTAAGCTCACTGCACTTAAATCAAAACTCTGACACACAGTCTTCCAAACCCCCTGTGTCCATGGCAGACGACTCCACACAGACCATCACAAATGAATACCGCAGTGACACAAACAATACAAGTGTGAAGACTGAGGACATTGCTGAGGACTACTCTGAACTGCTTGTAGAGTTGGAAAAATGCATTCATATGGATTCTTCTGAGTCTGCTACACCCAAGAAGGAGGAAATTGACCCGACTCCCTCGCCTCATCTTGATAAAGAGGGTAATGAAATATCAATTCCTGAAGCATGCGACGTGAAAGAGGAGAATGAGTCGGTCCGCATTAGAGCAGAAACAACCTGTTGGTCAGCATCTAAAGAGAGTAGTGGTGCGGGGGAGGAGATTGTTAAAGCTAAGGAAGGTTCTGTTCAAGGTGACGCTACAGAAAAGGAAGAAAAAACTGATTCACCTCCTCCTAGTGGCAACTCTGTAGTCAGCTTAATAGAAAATCAAATCAGTTTAAAGACATCCGAGTCTGCAAAGGATGAATCAGCTGTCGATGTGATGGACCAGCAGGGGGATGAGGAGCAGTGGCATCAGGTGTCCAACTCTTCTAGTAATAGCAGCAAACAACAGATCTTATCTCATGGTGCTGAGCAGGAAGATGACAGTCAGAATAAAGAGAAGGCTGCCCTTGAGAAGTCAATTGACAACACCAAAAGTAGTCCAAAGACCACAGAGTCAACACCAGGCCTTCACTCCAAGGTTTCCTCCAATGCCTCAGCTTCAAATGAGGATAAGGAACCGCTGAGACGACAGAAGAAGAGAAAGGACACGAAATCCCCTCATAGCCTGCAAAGGGTTTCCTCTCCAGTCACACAAGAAAATTTTGGCGTTGATTCTAGACCCAAGAAGAAATTTTGCCCCAGCAAGTGTGCAAATCCGTCTCTGCAGAGAAAGTCAGATGGACTGAATGAGTACCCTGTGCTGTCCTCAGTGCGGGATGACGTCGTTAGCAACAAAATCATTTCCAAGTGCAAGACTGTAAGTTTGGGCTTGCAGTCGAAACGAAGTCTGCTTGATAGCTGTACGCAAAAGAAGGCTGAGTTTGTGAGCCCTCAGAACGGGGACTATAAAACCAAAAAGGGAACTCTGGGGAGAGCTTTGCATTCTCAGATATCGAAAGTTTCTTCAGTTCCCATGAACAATTCTTTGAAATCTCGACCAAAGATAGGGGTAAGGTCGATGGAGACCCATTCCTACCGGACAGCAGAGTCACAGAACCACCTCCTCAGCCAGCTGTTTGGCCAAAAACTCACTAGCTTTAAGATTCCTTTAAGGAAGGACACATCAGAATCTATTAACTAAGGGTTGGGGGGTGGGGGGTGAGGGATCTGTGAATAATAGACTGTAAATGTTCACAGGTATAAATGTTTAAGACAATTCATTATGGTGAATGAGATTGCACAGCTCTTTTCTGTGAAATGCTTTAAATCTTTAAATACTTACATAGTCACTTTATTTCTTCTTTGTACATGTGTTTTTATTACATAAATGTGAGGATGAATGGCAGATATGAATATTGGGTCAAAAATTAAATATGCTAGTTGGAGAAATCATTGAACGTTTTTTTTTAAGAGAATATATTTCATTTACCTAAAGGAGAGAAAAAAGAATACTTGAAAATACAGTAAAATATTTTGTTTTTATAAATGCATGTTCATGTTGCATTCATAAAATAATTTTTTTTTAATGTTTTCTACTAAAGGACCAAATGACATCAGAACTGACATGGACTATTGTCTGTGCACCTTTCATAAATACTTCCTACATAGTCATTTTGTGTATTTTTTTTTTTTTTACCTTACTGTACTGCATCGACATTCATCGTATTAGCCTTTGTATAAACATTACGTGGTGCTACATTGTGTTTTTTTTTTATTGTAATGTGAATGCCAATGTCCTCAGAAGGGAACGTGAGATCTGTAGCAGTTGCAGTTACAAACGTACATCAGACTGTTTTTACTGGCTCTCTGTATTTTATTAATACTGTGTAAACCATCCAAGTAAATCACATGTAGGCTGACAGAAAACAACATTAGGAAAAGCTTCCATTGTATAAACTCAGGTGCATACAAGGACATCAAAGTCCCAAGACCTGTATTTGGAGTTCTTCCCATGCACTGAAAATACCACACACAAATTACAAACTCAATCATCTGTGTCTGTAGCTCCAAGTGTTTAATTCTTAATAGTATTTACTAGGACAACAAAGGTGCTTTATCTTGTTTATACTGTATGTATCTTACATTGTATTATATTGTAGGTAGATGAATGTGTGGTGTAAAAGTTTTATTTTAAAAAATGTGCAAAATGAATACGAATGAGAAGAAAGGGAAATGCAGTGTCTCTTGCAAGTTGTAAAGTGGCTCACCAAGTGCCTGTTTTATAGTTGGTTATTAAAGATCTGTACAGGTCTCTCCTTGCTCTTTTCTTCTTTTGTTCATGACGTGTTTTGCAAATGTTCCTACTTCCGTCCCTGCGGACTGCAGCTGTCGCCGCATGCTTCAAACACTGGAAGCAGTGGAAGGTGCGTGTGCCTGGAGGCAAAAACAGGTGCACACACAACAAACTCTGACGCCATATTTTTGTCTTCAAAATCAGCACTTCGCTGAGCTCACTTTTCATCAGAGAGATGAGCATAAATGTATCTTTACTACAGGGGAATATTCAGCAAGAAGACAGTTGCATTTATCCAACCATATGTTGTTGGTCTCCGTGAGCGCTGGCAAGCAGGCAGCGAGGAGCTCCCGCTTGTGTCACGCTTCCGTCATGCTGCTCTACCGCCACGTGTGAAATGGCTTCTGTTCCTACATGAACACTTTTCATCATCACATAGGAATAAAAAGCCATATCACACAGTGGCATACACACAGAGAATACAAGGAGGGGGGTCCTCGCATTTTTCCCCGTATTACCTGAGGGGGAAAAGCAAGAAGAAAAGAGGATAGTCAGAAAAATCAAGTCTTTCTTTGGTTGAAGCTCAGGATTTGGTTCTTGAGGAAAAAAATAAATAAAAGATTAAAAAAACAGTTATTCAATAATAAGAGTTGGCTGACTGAAGTGGATGTCTGCATTACAAGATGACATTTAACAGCAATCATCAGCACACTGTAAAGGACGGTTTAAACTATTAGTCTGCGTTGAGGATATAAGCGGATTTCCACATATGTGTCTCCTTTTTCTTCAAAATCAAAGATCTCACTTGTGGTACGAACACACTGGTGTTTTCTGTAAACACTGTAAGCAGCCATCGGCCCATGTGTTGATTCAGAGGGAGTGTGGAGGAAACAGAGCCACCGTGTTGTTGAAATAACTTCTCCAATTATATTTGTGTGAATGCTGGTTTGGCAGCAGACGCAAACACCATATTTTTGGACTCACTGATGACAACTGAAAATAAAGCAGGCATAACTGGGAGGGAATTATAGGCCTCGGTCCCTGTCAGCCTCTCTCAAGGAGAAGCAGCGATTCAGACTGCGTGAACGTGTGCCGGCACGTGTGCTATATCCTGACCTTTGTTACAGTACTGTAAAAGTCCAAATAAGCACTTTAAAGATAGAAAATCAAGATCGTTTCCTTGAAGCAGTCGAGGAGATGTCGTGAAGGCTGAGTGCTGAAATGAAAACTCTTACAAAAATCAAGCGGTGTTCAGAAGCATCCCAGTTATATCATCCTGCGTATAGACCCTAGAGTCTAATGCTTGTGAGGCTTTTCCAATACTCCTAAACATTTTAGATACACATTGCATAATCAGAAATGTTCTAACGTTACCAGTGATGTAAAGGATTTGGCATTTAAATTATTTTTGGACCTAGGTATTAGCAGGTTTTGGTTATGAAGTAATGAAACCCATCATAAATGTCACTGCATCAGTGGATAGTCATTTTTAATCCTTCAGTCAATAATTAATAAGACTCTAGTTTGCCTTTTCAGTGTCAAAAAGTGAAGACTGTCTCCCCTGATGTTTATCCTCAGCTGTCTATCTATGTATTTAAAACCCAGTCGTCAATCTTTCGCTCAGCATTTCTTAAATACTTCCAGATAATCCACAGAATAACTTGCTGTTTAATATTTAATGATGTATAGCAATGACTCGGTTGGATTATTAAAGCAGCTCACTGAAGCATAAAATATTTTGTGGTTTTTGTAGAGCTGCTTTTTTCTTATTCTAAACAATAATTAAATTCCCACCCATTAGTAGATCCACAGCAAAAAATAAATGAAAAACCTTCGTGGGAGGATGGATGACCATCTGTTGATGCGTGTGTGTGTGTGCGTGTGTGTGTGTAGTAAAAGAATGCTACTGACTCATTGGCAGAGGCATCAAGATTAATTAAAAAAGAAAAGAGTTGCTGAGGATCACAATGTGCTTTGGTTTAGCCTCACAGATTAATCATTTAAAATCCTTAAATATTGAAAGACCTTGATTGTCACAGTAAATATAGGGTGCGTGGTTCATGAAGATTTTAACAGTATTCAAAAACAACACAGTTCTCAGTGTAACTGTTATGAAGTGAAATCTAGTTACAGATCTAATTAATGCATGATCTGGACTGGGAGTAAATTTATTGCACTGCAGGAATCCTTGCAACTCAGGGACTCAGGCATGAGTGTGGTGCCTGAAGGCTGCATCACTGATGACTTCAGTGATGTCGAAGCCATCAAATTGTGTCAGTGAAATGCCTGTGCGGTGATTAACATGTCAAACAATTATAATAGAAACAAAATTACAGGTACATGTTGCTTTGTACGTATATTACAAAGTTTGCCATTTTACCGTCTCAGGCTCAAATTAAAATCTTTGTTGCTAATGCACAACCAAGTCCTGCAGTGGTACTTCTGAGTAAAACAAAACTCATAAAATATGTATGTGGGGTAATCAGGTTGTTAGTTTTTAACTGCTGCAAATCGGCAACGCCTGCCTCGAGAGGGTTAAGTGTTTACATTTCAGATTTATTATCCTTCTGAGCTCCACTGGTAATTTATACGCTAATTAGTGGTTGATGTTTCGTCCTTGACTGCATCTGGATTTTACCTGAATGTCGTGCTGAGCTTGGTTTCTCTCCCCCCCCCCCAGTCTTGTTGTTGTTGATTAAGACAGAATTAGAGACCTCAGCAGATTGTGTCACAGTTTAGCCCACAAAGTGTCACACATAGCGAGTATGAGCCCCACACGCCCTACTGCCATGCATCCTTTTATCATCTGATCTATAAGGAAATTCTCCAGAGGCACAGTCATGCAGGAGCATGACAGGAACGCTTTGCACTTTGAAGTAGAGTGACATTATCAGTAAGTACGGTCTTGAAATAGCATCTCCTCTCACTCCATATCTGAGTCTCCCACCCCTGCCTCATCTGATTTCCGACTTTCTTTCCTCCATTTTTTTTTTCTGCCGCCACCCTCATTTTCCTGCTCGTCCTTTTCTCTCGCTTTTCTGCTCTCTTCATCATCAATTTCCAATTCAGTGTCTCACACCCCCCCCCCCTCCCCCCTTCCTCATTTTTGCCTCTGCCTCTCCCCATTTTCTCCTTTCACCCTTTATCTTAGTCATTCACCTGATTTTTCATACATTCCTCTGTTTTTTTACATTTCACCCCATCTCTTTGCAGCTTCCACATTTTTTTTCCATCTATCCCGGCTGCCTGCACACCTTTCCACCCACTCTTCTTCCTTGTTTTTTCCTTCCTTTCTATCTCCCTCTCATTCTATCCCACTATCTCGCCTCACCCTTTGCTCCCTCCTCCCTTAGGTTAGTGTTGGCAGCCTCGCGGGGAGGTCATGAGATCAGGGGCAGATAGAGATGGGCTGCTGGTCAGCAGTAATGACACACAGGCTGAGGGGCCACTCAGGTCGCCTGTGTTGGGAATTTTTACTTTCAGCCATCATGGAGAGATAAATGGATAGGCGGGAATTCGGTGCGTGAAAGGGAGGGAATGACTGAGCATCCCTCCCGGCACACACAGGAGGGAGATCGTGATGAATTTCCACGGGGATTGTATCTGAAATCATTTTTGTTCAGCAGGAAGAAGGTGTACAAATAACTCAATGCAGGCACTTTGCCTTGATGTAAACAAAAAGGGAAGAGAAATCTTTGAAGTCAAATGATTAGTCAGATTTTTCCTGACAGACATCAAAACAATCTCTATCCCCTTTCTTTTTTAAACAGGAGCGAGAAATCTATGCAAGGAATCTCCCACAACACTGGAACCTGAAATAGAAGTCAAATGAACTAGGGCAGCAACAACATCAACATGAATTATGGAGCAAATGAGCAGATAAAAATATATCTCAGTGGGTAAAAGGTAATATAGGAAAATGAAACATTAAAGTGATGCCAGGCACACTTCAGATTTTCTAATTAATGGCCTCTCACCATGAAGTCCTGGCCGCTTACTGCCAACAGAGGCTTTATCAACTCAAACATTTGTCATTGCAGTCAGAGCCAGAGAGGAAACAGGCTTCACGCAATAGCTAAAAGTACCTGTTTGATGTTCCAGGTTTACAGAAATAAATGGGGTTGCACTGTAGGGGCTATGCAAACAAAAGCCTGTCGATGTGTGTCTGCAGCCACTGGAAAGCTGCAGCCAACAGCAGGTGTCTCCAGAGCAGCTGGCCTCAGCAAACAAACACACAGCTAATGTTAAAGAAAGTTTAATGCAGACAGACATCGTAATGAGTTTAGTTGAATTTTGTATAATTTTCTCATTTCTATTTATACCTCTTTTATACTGATTCATTCTTTAAGCTGTTGACAGACTTGAGAAAAATCCAGCAGATAATTGGTGCTGGGTCAGAGTTAAACAACGAGAAATAAATACCTGCGTCGTGATGTATACATTTCAAAATTGGCTTACAGTAAGAGCGACCCATTGTTGCATGCAAGGCTGGATCTGACGGCCAGTAGGGTTTCCTCACGTACCTCCAAGACATTCTTCACCCTCGTTCCCTTTCTCCTGTGCTAAAACCTTCATCCCTTCCCCCCTCCTCTACCTCCACAGCGTGCTCTCCCAGCTTTGCCCCTGCTGTTTCTGTGGATATCACAGAGAATCTGAAGGATCTATTCTGACATTTGATGTGGCACAAAATTGGATCTCCACTGTGATTCTCTCCCCAAGCGCCTCGTGGAGTGTAATCCACGCTGTGACTAATTGAGTGACATGCCAACAGCCTGAGAGTGTAAATGGATGGTTGCTGGTGATATGTGTCTGTGACCTGTTCTTTTTTTTTCCAAATGCCGGTGAGTTAATTAGACAGAAAGCAGAAATAACACACACAACCTCTAGTGGTGCTGAATTCTCCAACGCAAAGACACATTTTGTGCTTCGTCAGTGTCATCTTGTGTCGTTGCCTATTGAATGTGACCCTGCATTGTTGTCTGGCTGCCTGTGACATTTATAACTAATATCTGCCACAA